GGCTTCAGAAGAAACCAACCTTGCTGATACCTTAAACATGGACGTCTAGACTCCAGAATTGTGAGAAAATACATTTCTCTGGCTTAAGTCTGTAGGACTTTGTTATGACAGCTCTGGCTAATGAATAATGAAGCAAATCTAGGACTATGCCTAGGCTTCTGGCTTGAGAAACGGAATATTTAGAGGTCTCATTACCAAATTGAATAAGGTTGCCGAAAGGATAAATTTGAGATTCATATGGGGGTGTTGGTGGTGGAGAAGATTAAGAGGCAAATTTAACAGTTTTATGTTTAAGATGCCTATACTCATGCAAGAAAACAGATCAAGTAGGCAGCGGTATGTATAAGCCTAGAAATTTTATAAATAGTATTGAAATGATTCAAATGAACAAATTTGGACCCTCTCATTTATTCTCAGTCGATTCTTGACGTTAACACAAAGGGCTGTTTGTTTGGCTGTCTCATCTTTCAATGTCAATAAGTTAGATTTTCTAATATTTTGCATTAAAGAAAACAATGTGCTGCATGATTTCTGTGTCTCTAAAAGTCAACAGACCTTGAAAAGATGCAAAAGTTAAAAGTCACCTTGAAGAGCAGTTGTGACATTCTGTGATTGTGATTAAACATCATGAGACACAACTTTGGATTCAAACTCTGCCCCTTCTAAATGAGTGTTCTTGGATCATAATCTCCAAGACTCAGATTTTTCACCAATTTTATAGTGATTCTTGTTAAGGGTGCTTCACATCATTTAAGATATTTTTTGATTTTTCAGAGGCAATTTTTGTTATTGCATGATTGTGTAGTGCTAGTTATTAGAGGCCCTACACAATCCTGCACAATGAATTGTCCTTTATTTCAAATAACTTTTGAAATCCACTGGATGTGTATTTGTAGTTGCAAAACTTGAAAAAATTCTGTAGGTTACAGTTGGAGCTATAGTAATACATCTATGTGTATGTATACATATGTAACATATATACACACACGTATGTGTGTGTATATATATATACATTAAAATTTTGTGTAGGTAGGTTATATTATCTATTAATTCCACTTCAGGACTCTAGGGTGTTACAAAGCATTTGCTATAAAAAGAGGGCTTTGTATCTGACTGCGTTGAGAAACAGCAACCAATACTAAGTTTTTTTTACTTTTATTATTAGTAATCAGGGTTTTTTTTGGGGGGGGGCTGTTGAGTTTCTCATATATTCTGGATGTCAATTCCTTGTCAGTTGAGTAATTTACAAATATTTTCTCCCATTCTGTAGGTTGTCTCTTCACCCTACTGGCTATTTCCGAGACTGTGTGAAAGCTTTTTAGTTTTATATAAACTCATCTGTCTATTTTGACTTTGTTGCCAGTGTTTTTGAGACCTTCTCCACTAAAATCTTTGCCCAGACTAATGTCCTGAGGCATTTATCTTATGTTTTCTTCTAATAGCTTCATAGTTTCAGGTCTTATGTTTAAATCTTTAATATATTTTGAGTTGATTTTTGTATACAGTGAGATAGAGGAGTCTAATTTCATATTTCCACATATGAATATCCAATTTTCCCTGCATTATTTATTGAAGAAACTGTTCCTTTCCCAGTGAATATTCATTAACTTAGGCTGTGTCCATCTTACCTAAGGCAATCTACAAATTCAATGCAATACCCATCAAATTACCAGCAACATTCTTCTCAGACCTAGAAAAAACAACACAAGAATTCATATGGAAACACAAACCTCTAAGAATAGCCAGAACAATCCTCAGCAAAAAAACCAAAGCAGGTGGTATCACATTACCAGACTTCAAACTTTACTATAAAGCTACAATCATCAAAACAGCTTGGTATTGGTACAAGAACAGGCATATAGATCAATGGAATAGAATTGGGATTCCAGAAGCAAAACCTCAATTTCTCAACCAACTCATCTTCGACAAAGCCCCCACCACCTACCACTGGGGAGAGGAGAACCTATTCAGTAAATGATGCTGGGAAAACTGGCTGACCACATGCAGAAGATTAATACAAGACCCCTATCTATCCCCATGCACAAAGGTTAACTCCAAATAGATCAGAGACCTAAATGTAAAACCTCAAAAAATAAGAACCTTAGAAAAAGAAAGAAATACCCTCATGGAAATCGGAACTGGCATCCAATTCCTGAACAAAACCCGAAACCCACAGGTCATAAGAGAGAAGATAGACAAGTGGGACCTTATTAAACTGACAAGCTTCTGCAAAACCAAAGAAACCATCAAGAGAGCAGGGAGATAGCCTACTGACTGGCAAAAAGTATTTGCCAACACCAGGTCTGACAAAGGCTTAACATCCTGGATCTACAAGGAACTCAAACGTGCGGAAAAGAAAAAAACAAACAACCCCATTATAAAATGGGCAAAAGATATGAACAGACACTTCACAAAAGAAGACATCTGAGCAGCCAACAAACACATGAAGAAATGCTCAACCTCACTAATCATCAGGGAAATGCAAATCAAAACCACACTGAGATACCACCTAACTCCAGTCAGAATGGCAATTACCAACAACTCAAAAAATAA